AGGTCTGCCTCTTCGACCTCACAGATCTGCCTGAGGTAGGGTCATCTGTGCAGAAATAGGGCCTTTTGGGAGAGGGGCCCTCCCAGACTTCCTTCTGGTTTTGTAGCTTCACAGTTTCTGTGAATTTAGGAGTGCTCAAAATGTTATTGTGTGAATATTTCCTGCATTTCCACATTTACAGTTTAGCAGCCTAACTAAATTAAGGTCCCGATTCTGAAGCTAAAGTGTTCAGACAGGCTTCAGTGCCATTGAAGTCAGTGGTGGGATGGAGAGTCACTGGTTCTTTGCAGGATTTAAATGGTCATTGAGACTTAAATACATTTTCCAATGAAAATGACATCTGGTGTTCTGAAAAAAAAACACTCATTCTGTTGGCTTTGGGAAGTGTTCTAGGTTGTCAGATGGTGCAAGTGTATGTTTGCATTAGCTCACAGTGGCGATGCTTACTAAATTTCATCATGCAGTGAAACCATGACTGCATTCTCAGACTGTTTTTAGTTTTCAAATATTAAAACATCTGTTCGATAAGGGGGGGAGGAGAAGAAAAGGAAGTTAAATAAGTAAAACTGTACAAAACGAGTTGGTTGCTGTCAAAAGAATGCCTATAGCAAGAAGGGTAACAGAGTTAAATCTGGTGATTTCATACATCTGATTATGTTGGGAAGCAAAATCTCCATGGCTTGAAGAACTGTGTAAGCTGGTGAACCGTAGTCCTTGAAACAGTGATAGAGTCAGGCTGCAGTTCCTTTCATATCCCCAGGAAGAAGCATGAGATGGCTTAAGATGTTCAAGGGGAAATGTTGGTGCCTGCTGAGATCTGAATCCAGCTGGTAGAACAGTCCTTGGATAAGGCCAGAAGAGGTAAGAAAAAGAAAAGGTGCTATGGAGAGCCCTCACCTGCTGTATTAAATTTGGAGCTGGGGCTCATGGTCTCTCAGTTCCAGCGGACAAGGTGAGAATTAACTCAGATTAATTGTGAGGCTTTGGTACACTGTAGAATGCATGTTTTATTTTGTCAAAACATGTATTGGCAGTGCCTTTAGCTAAAGTAAAATACCAAGAACGGATTTTGTTCTCCATAGTCATCTTCAATAGTCTGCTTTAATCCATGTCTTACCTGACAGGCCTTTGCCATTCAGGAAGCTTTTGTGGTGGTCAAGTGAAGTCAAGTGCCTGTGCAGAAGCACTTGTCTGCTTGGTCTGAGACTGGTGGGACATTTGCAGGATTAGCTGAAGCATCATACAGAGGGAAGGATATCTGCCTCTAAATAGTGTAATAAACTAGTAAGAAAAGACCTTCTCCCCCCCCCCCCCCCCTTAAAACTCCTTCATTGAGTGTTTTAAAGAAAGTGGGGTTGGCAAAAAGATTAAAATAACACATAGCCTACAGACTGATGTATTTCATTAGGGCAACACAAGAGATTACTTGAAATTCTCAGGCCCTTATGGAGCAGCAAGACGCCTCTTTGCTCACACGTTTTTTATTGTGAAGTTCAAGGTATTTCTGGTTAGGGCACGGCTCTTGCATCTGTGCACCCGCGCACACATGGCCCTGTGTGGATTATGTGAGGGGCTTAATTCTGACTGCCTGGATTTGCAGGCGGCGTGTTGACAGGAAATTAGTTTGTACCAGGACGTGCCTTTTGAGGACTATTTCCATGCAGTTGTGATGATGACATCAATGTGCGGAGGTCAGATGGGAGGGGGGGGGCAAAGACACCCCCTTGGCTGGAAGTTGGTTTTGGCGATGCCTCCGTGGGACGGAGGGCTAATCATAATTTGTTTCTCTGGCTGCCGTTTGCGTCAGAAGTCCGGGCAGCCTTAATGAACGTTGCCTGTGTTACTTTGAAACCTTTGCTGGGAAATCATGGGAAAATGGAAAAATGCATACTTGCGTGTCACCCTTCAGGTTAACAGTTTAGGCAGCGCTACAGCTCTTGGAGCGCATGGTACGGCTCCGATGCAGCTCCGAGCAGCTGGTAAAGAGATCTCTCACTGTAAACCTGTGCCTGCCTGTGATTTTTTTATAGGGTATCCTGTTAAGCCAAAAGCTAATTTGCTGTAGACTCTGTGCTAAAAATGGTGCATCATATGACACTTTAGTGAACTATGAAAATAAAAGCACTGAAATTGGAAATTCCTGGTGTCGTAGGTCCCAGACATCTCTTCATTTGATACTGTTTTTATTATTGATAGTTTTTGTGTGCGTGGTTTTAAAATATTTTTAGTCCACTTTTAACAGATAATAATAAAGCCCCTAATACTGCACTGGTGTCCCCCTTCGTTGTTTGAGTGGTATTACGCCATCAGTTACTTTCAACTGCAATTTTCTGATTATGCATGAAAGCCTTTGCAGTGTGCATTTCCCTGCAACAGTGGGTTTTTTCTTTAGAATAAACACTTCTTTTTTTTCTGGCTGAAGCTTGTAAGGGAAATTTTTATATGGGTGAAAGATGTAATATCCGTTTTAGCCACCTCTCTTTAAAACCAAATATTTCCTCATTGTTTCTTAAAAAAAAAAAGAAAAAGTTTAGCGTCTCCCCCAAAGTCTTCTAGCTTCAGATCATCTCATGTAATGTTAACATTTTGGTCCCAGTCTTACAATTACTTTTTTCCTTTGCTTAGCTTTTTCTTGTGTGCAGTCTATTGGGTATAAAGTCAAGTAAATGTGAAACCTATGCAAGATGGGAGGCCTGAATCCCTACTGAGACTAGCTCATGTTACAAAGGTGATTTTAATTTCCTTTAAGCTCTGTGTCCTTCGAAAAGCATTTACTATCCTTGTCCAACACCTGAAGTGTTTTATCATGTTCAGCCCTCTATAAGTCAATGGGACCGTGACCCACGGGTATGTTAGAAACGCTCTAATATCACTTGGGAATTTCTAACGCGGCTGCAGCAAACCGAAAAGCTGATGACTAGCTAACCCAAGTCCCTTCTCTCATATTTTTTAGCAGCCTAAATGTTCTGTTAGCCAACATTTATTATAACTCCTCAAAGATATTTTCCAGAGTAGGTCTGATAAGTTAACTGTTCTGCACTGGAAGATTACAGAACCAGTTGTAGAATAGGAAAGCTAGAGAATTTATTTGGAGGAGATGTCCACAGCAGCGATGGAGTCATTACTGTTGCTTTGGCTCTGGGACATTTAGGAAGCACTGTGGTTGCGGGCATGCTGGTGGTGAATGGCAGTGCTGCAACTATATATGTCTGTAATAACTATGCAACTATACGTGTGTATCCTCTATTTGTTGGAAATAATTAGAGTGCTTATATTTTAAAATGTAGTATTTCTTTTTGGAAACTAATGTTCAGCAGCACAATTGTACTGCATTTGCGTGTGTCAGTGCCTGTACATATGTATAAACATTTAAAAGTACTTTTGGAAAACCACTTAAAAAAAAATTTGAGATTAAAAGATTTTCTTAGTCCTATGTAGATTTGGGGTGACGCTAGAAAAATATATGTTGCAGGAAGAAACCCAGCCTCATTTTAAGTATCAGACTTCTTTTCACTTCTTAGTATGAAGTTGAGGGATCTGGGAGAACTGGAGAGATATTAACTTTTTTAAATAGTATTGAAAAGGGCCTGTTTAAGGGTAGAGAAATGAAGCCCTCCCGTGTGCAGCGGAAGGGGGAATAGCCCTGGAAGAGCAGTCCTGTTGGTGAAGGAGCATGTAGGGGCATGTGTGCCGTCCGCAAGGGAAGGTTTTGTCGAAAACAGTGAGGCTTTTGGTGTGCACTAGGAGCAGGGCTCCTAGTTTCTGGCAAAGGAGGATAAAACGCGCATTTTTGGTGCTATCTGGCAAGCCTCAGCTGCTTTCCCCAGCCTGCTTCAGCTTCCTTGCCCCTGCTCAGCAGAGGGAACTTTTGGGACAAGCCACTGCCTGCGCTTGCCCTGGCCCCTCCTGTATTTATGTCGAGCTGGGTGCTGCAAGGAACACATACATATCGCTTGTGTAGTGATAAAAAATAAAAATAAAGAAATAGGAGTGAAAAATAGAAATAAAGCCTCTTTATGGAGAATTAGAAGGATGTTATAAAGAACACAACCATTCATGAGTTGTATTATTTATTGCAACATATGTGCTTGGTATCTTGATTTGATTTATGCAATGTTGTCTTTTTCTGCATTCTGTTACATGTGTGCATATGCACACATATATATGTATGTGCACACATACTTATGTGTCAGAATTGCCTAGGAAGAAGGTGGTACATCATTTGGTTATTCATTTTAAAATATTAGAAGCTAAAAAATAATAGTTTATTTCTGTAATGCTTTTTTTGTTGCATATAGTTAAGCAATTTGAGCAAATTCTCCGTAAACTTCAAGGTTACCAGAGTTAATCTGAGGCTAAAAAAAATAAATGCCTAGAATAATTTATGCCTTGTCTGTTTAGGTTTTTCACATATTTGTGATTTCAGAACTGGAGTTTTGTGTTTCTCAGTCTTGTGTGGGGGTTTTTTTTCCTGATATAGGGAAAATCAGCTGAGTTAAAGCACAACGGTATTATGAGGCAGTTGGTCAACACTTGATTTATCCTCATTTGATGAGAATATAAAAATGTAGAGCAACTCTGCAAAATACATACCTACCTAATTTTTTTATACTGCAATCACTTGGATGGTGCTAAAAATGAAAGTTTGTCTGACTAGTAAAGAAGTTGCATGAATTCAGTTATCTTAAAATGTTTATTCCAGACATCAACATTTTGTTAAATTCTTTACAACCTACATAGCAGGGTAGTAAGTGAAAACCACTGCAGCTAGTTTATCAGATACCAAGAAATCTTTTGAAGGACTAATTCTCTAATTTGCTTGTACTCACTTCATATGACTGGTACTGTTTCAGGGATTGAAGGTGGAAATAAAATTCAGAAAGAAGATAAAAAAAAAGATCCCTGCAAATTGAAAAGAACTTTATGTTTTTTCTTTTCTTCATTTTTTTAGGAAGGGAAAGCTAATGCTGTGACTTTTTTTTTTTTTTTTTTTAAATTAGCTCTTCAGGTGCTGGCAATGTAGCAGACCGTGTCTTGGCTCAGTTGTTAACGGAAATGGATGGGATAGAACAGCTGAAGGACGTGACAATTTTGGCAGCTACAAACAGACCGGACATGATAGACAAGGTACAAATAGATGCACTGTCGTATATGCTGTTCTCTGGAGAAGACCACATTTTAGTATAATTCCATTCTCTTTTACTCTCCAAACTGTTGTCTAATCAATGTAATGATTAAGAGTAGAAGTTTGAAAATGAAGACGAGGCAAAGGAAAGGATTATGTCCCTTGGTTTTTTTTTCCCCCTTTACAGAATTTTTAACAAAACCGAAATGTTTTGTGATAGCATTAAGTGTCTGTTTCCTAGAAGAAATTTTCCTTAAATCAAGCTCATGGAACTTGTGCAACAACATTTCTGTCAAACTGCTTCTGTGGTTTTTGCTTCTGTTTTGTTTATGCAGGAGTTTGCTGGAGTTTGTTGGTTTCATTAGTTACTTCCTCTTGATTAAATGTCTCCTCGGTGCCATTAGCCTGCTGCCAGCAATACGGTTTCCAACTGTAAACAGCGTAATTTCTCCTTAGATCCTGCGGCAGCTCTGCTGGAGTGACAAGAACATTGCAAGTTTGTAAAAAAGGGAGGGTTGTAACACTTACTGCAGAAAACCTCCAAACACAAAACCAACCCAGCAGCCCTCTAGAAAATCCACTTTAAAACTGTCTACCACTGCTGTGTCTTCTCACAGCTAAGTGCAGTAGACGGATCAGCCTGAAGTGATTTCCTTTAAGACACGTTTTGTAGTGTTGGTAACGTTCTTTAGTCCACAACTTTTCACCTTCACAACATTCATGAATCTGATGACAAGTTAATGAAATTTATTTTTCCTGATCTTTTCTAGGGTTTCTTAGAAGTTTCTTAAATATTTTTTCTGTTAACAAATTCTCCCATTTTAAGCTGTTCCTGGAGTAATCTCTTCTGTTTGTCTTGGAGCATTCAGGCATAAAATACATATGAAGCACACACTTCTAAAGTAAAGCTCATATACACATGAAGTCTGGAGGGAAAAAAAAACACTTGTATTTTGGCTCCAGAACACAGCCTCTTCCCTTTTGAACTGAAGGGAGCCACACAGCTGATGGTGTCCTGATGAAGGCTCACTTAGAGCTTACTTATACACTACCTGTGTGCCTGCCATGGCAAAGTAGAGCTAGCAAAGAGATAAAAGTCCGTAAAACTCATCAGTGAAAAATATGCTTGTGCAAAATGGAAATTTTCAAGATTCCATTTTTGTCAACTTGATTTCAGTTGTCTTTGGTGACCATTCTCTGGGCTCAGCCTAAGCTGAATTTGAAAAAAAACTCTGAACAGAAAGGAAACTTCCTTCTGAGTCAGTTCAACACTGTGCTGGGTTATTTCCATCACTGCTTGGAAATTCAGTTCTCTGCCATTATCCCTTTTGCTGGATTTCTCTTGGGCCCACGATGAATGCTGTTTTCTTATATTTTAGTTTTTATTTGAAATACTGGCATACTGGGACAGTATTTATCTGAAATATTGGCAATATTTTGTCAGTACTGCCATGTGTTAAGGGTGCCACCCTGCAATACCGAGAACTGTTGAAAACTGCTTTTACCAAGATATTATGGGCGGGAGGAAAGTTCTGGTAATTTTGTAGAAAGCATTCACTTACAGGATAGCAGAGCAAAATTTCACCAATCTGGAGGAAGGGGGATTTTAAACTGTGATTTAAAGGGACAAAATACCATTTGAGTTGGTATTGCTCACGTTGTGTTTCATTGAGACCGGACAGGCTATACTAGACCACCATCTTCTCCTGGGTCTATGTAGTATTTGCAGTGCATATGTTGTGCTTTCCCCCCCCTCCTCCCCCAGAAGGAGAAGACTGACACCAGAAAGTGTTTGTATTGTGAACTTCACTTAATGGGAAACTTTTCAGTAGCAGCTTTTAGTTTACTTTGTGATCAGGGATTCCTCTGAAAAGGCAACATTTTGTTAAATCAATTTAATATTTTATATGGAAATATCAGTTCAGTTATGTATTACAGTAAATGAGTGTCCTGTTTTCATAGGTGTATGATGACTGTACAGTAATTTTTAATGCATGAACTTTACATGTGGTATAAAGGCACAAGGCAGTCTGTGTTCTCTACTTTCAGGGGCTGGGAAGATGTCTGGTATACTTTTTGTGACTTAGTTTTTCAAACCAAGAAATGTTTGAGGAATGCACGCTTTGTAAGTTTTATATTATATACTTACAAAGCTGGTAATAATCCATTCAGCATCTTCATTTATGTGGCTCGTTCTTAACTGAAAATATGTGATGATTAATCTTCTGTAACTTGAAAACAGCACGTGGGAAAAATCAAATGCAAGGGTATTCCCCTGAGTTTAGTGCAGACTTCATCATCCCTGCAAACACTACGGTGTGTTGCTTTCAGGTAGTGAATAGATTTTGAGTCAGACTTTATGTTTAATGGTAAACTTGTTTTGACTTGTTACAAATGTCTGTTAATAAGTTAATTTCTCTAAGATGTCATGATTGTATTGAAATATTATTCCAACTTTGTGTCCCATGTTTGTAGCACTTAGCTACTTTGCATCCCATTCATGTGACGCTGGAAATACTTTGGGATAGTTTCTGTTTTTCATAAGAAAACAAAAACGGCACGTACTGTGTTCAGCCATGTATGATAGAGAAAGTGATTTCTCTTGGAAAGGAAATATTCTGGAACAAGATGTTCTGAACATTCTTTGAAAATGATACAGAAACAAAACACTCGGAGTCAGTAATAATAGTAAAATCTTCCCTTTTCTTCTTCATTCTGTAAGTAGAATTGATGAGCAATAATTAGAACAATGCTTTTTGGTTTTTGATTTACCCACTCAGGAGTTATTTTTTTCATACCTAAAATGTTTTGCAATAACTTTAGGGAGCTGTTTATGATTCAAAGCTTCTGTGTATTTTCCCATGTATCAGTTGGCCTAACACGAGAGATCACTCATCCCCACAAACCTCGCATAAAATATTTTAAACACTGTATATAATTTGATTAGCTTGAAATTAAATGTTCTATTCAGTCATACACGTGGACAAGCTTTGCAGTGTAGTCTGACAGATTTCCATGGAAGAAAACCTAGACCAGCTCGTCAGGATTTGTGTGTCCTTTTTTTTGTCTTTTTTAGTGGAACCTGTTTTCGTAGCCTTTTAGTACTGGGTTTATTTCTTGGGTCAGAAGGGTGAATTGCTATCATTACCTGCTCGTGCAGATATCTTTTTTTCCTCTTGAAGCACTGTTTCAATCTCCATTAGCAGGGATACACAGAAGGAGGAGAGACTGTCAAATCCCCAGGGACCTTGGTGAATGTTTTAGCACAGGAAGCAAGATGCATGTTGCTGCAGCATCAGATAGTTTTACCTCCTGCTAGGTCAAATTTGAATGTCAAACACATTAGCTGTGATGTAAAACACGAGGCTCTGAGTGAAGTGATGGCCTATGGTATTAGGACGACATCCTGGTGCTCCTGAGAGCTTCAGTTGTCCTTATCATGGGCTGCAGAAAAGATGTATCCTCAAACATGCTATTTGCATAAGAATGACAGGATGTGGAAGACAAATGAAGATTAATGAGATGCTGTGCTGTCAACGTTGCCCATTGTCTCTAGATTGATGATGGTCTGGATTTTGTCCCCACATTCATGGACTTCAGCGTAGCTTAAACCAGAAACTATCCTGGTACATTGAATACTGAAGAGCTGAATCTTCACAAATGCTTTGCTAATACCAGAGGGCTTGAAGCATCTTGCATGCTGGTATAAGAACGTGTTCTGTATATTGTGCCAGTCCAGAGGATTTTGCTGCCTCCTTTTGTATATTTATTTTGCTTTTTAGAAATTTCCTGCTCCCTAGGCTTCCTTCTCACTTCCTTCCTCTTCCACCCTCTCTTCCTTCACCTGTTAAGTTTTGCTGTTCCTTAGATAAGCTCTGTTGGTTTATTAAGTTGCTGTATTAAGCACTGGGTTTGAATTCAGCTGCTTTAGTTTAAGAACCAAGTGGATACTACCGAGTTCTGTGTTCTGCTTATGTGAACAAAATAAAACTGCGGCCTATATTCTTCCTGGCAACTGCTAAGCATGAGGAAAGGGAATAAAACTCCCTTCCCCTGTGGTTCACTTGGATTTGGAGGAGTGTGTTGGGCAGAGAAGTCAAACAGAGGTTCATCAAGTTGATCTGACCCTCAAAATGTTGATTACTGTGTAGTTATGGGACAACCTTAATTTAAGTGGCTTGTTTTGATGAAAATAAAAAATGCATGATAGAGCCATTTGGCAGAATCAGTGAAGAAATTATAATTTCTTGCCTGCAGCAAAAGTAAATAATCTTTCCTCTTTAAAAACATCAAAGTTCTGTCTTTCTGAAGGCTTATGGAAGAAATTCAAATATTTAGGTTTGCAGTTTTACAAGTTAAAAGGAATAGGAAAGAATCTTGCATATTTATTCATTATTGTCTGGAAATGTTTATGTGCTGTTATAAAGCAGATGATGCTACAAGCATATTTAGCATAAACTTAACTCACTACCATGTAATATATTTTCTTATTTACATATTTGCTTATTTGTGATTTCCATTTTGGTCAGAGATACCTTACTAAAGGTTCTTCCTATATTACAGCCTGGACTTGATAGGATTTCAGTTTTCCCAAATACAGTGTAGGACTGTAGAGTTACAAGCCACATAATCCATCAGTCATGTGCTACGTTTCCCTGTGTGACACCCCTCCACCCCACTGTTTGATCAAAGGTTGTAAAGCAGTCTAGGTTGGAAGGAGCCCCTGGGAGTCTTCTGGTCCAGCCTCCTGCTTGAGCAGGGTCAACTTCAGTGTTAGGTGAGGTTGCTCAAGGCTGCTCCCAGGAGAGTTTTGAGTTTTCCAAGGATGGACACTTCACAGCCTCTGGGCACCTGCTGGGCTGTTTGACCACCTTCACCGGGAAGATTTCTTTCCTTATGTCTAGGAGCCTAGCTTGCTTTAACTTGTGCCTGCTGTGTACCTCTGAGAAGTGTCTGGCTCAGTCTTCTCAACAAACCATCCAACCACTTCCTGCTGCTTTAG